GGGATGGGGGGAACTTACCTCCTCCTCCTGCTTCCTCCTCTGCCTGATAAGTGTGCAGCTCCCTCCCCCCCTCCCGCGAGTATCGCGGGTCCCGCCCCTTGTGATATACCAATTTTTAGAATGTCTAGAAATATTATATGAATTTTTTGCCAAAAAAGTCCAAATTTTGCCGCAATGCCAACTTACGACTTCTAAAGCAAAGGTCTCATTCTGTCACTCATCCTCTCCCCTCCCCGCAGGAATTTCCTCCCCCCTCCCATAACTATGGCAACCCAGGAGAGCATAGCAAAGCAAGCTTTGACACCTTTCCCCCCAAAAAAACCTTCCAAAGGTTAATCTGTAGAGTGGGGGGGTCTCTTTTTCGCTCCCTCCCTTTAGCATTCCAACGTCACAAGTATTTATTCTTTATACACGTTTATACACCACCTTTTACATTGCTCTCCCCTCCCATTTTATCCTGGCAACTACCCTACGAGGCGGGTTAGGCGAAAAGCGTGTGACTGGCCCACAGTCACCCAGCAGGCTTCAGTGGCAGAGTGGGGATTTGAACCTGGGCCTCCCAGTTCCTGGGTCAGCACTGTAACCACTACTCCGCATGGGCCGTCAGTAGTTAGGTTACGCTGGAGGAGAGTGCTTAGCCCAAGGTCGCCCAGTGAACTTTCTCTCTGGGCAGGGATTCGAACCCGGGTCTTCCTGTTCTGAGTCCCGGACTTCCACCGTGCTGGGTCTCCTGGTTCACAGCAGGAGCGAGCTTTCCTTGCTCCACTAGGCCAGGATCCTGCGTGTAGCCTAGCCTAAAGGGGCCTTTCTCACCCAGCCGGGGCAGCCTTGTCAAATTCGGTGCTTGCCTCTTCAGTGGTGAGGACCAGCCCGGTGGCTGCCACAAAGATGAGGTAGTTCTCATCATGGGCCTCAGTGCCATGCTGTGGGACCTGGGGATAAAGATGTGCTACAGACATGGACACAGTCCCGGTGGGCCAGCTCCCAATGGGCCCTTTTCCGCCCCTTTCTAAAGCTATTTTGGACCCCATCCTCCAGAGTGTCCTTCGGGTGAGGCGGACTTTGTCTTCTTCGGTGGCAGTGAGCCAGAGCCATTCCACCTGCCTGCCAGCCGCAGACGCAAAACCAAACATTTTCCACTGTTCTCTGCTCCTCTGTGGAAAATGTTCTGTTCTTAAGATTTATTGTTTCGTACAGTCAAGAACAATGAAGGGATTTTTTTTGCCAATGCAAGGCTGAGCAAGTTTGGCCGTTGCAAAGTTGTAGCTAATGTTATTTCGGTGATTAACCCTGTGGTGTTTAAAGCCACCAATAAATGTAATGATTCAAACTAAAATTTTAAAAAATCAAGTTAGAATTTCTGTGATTGGCTTTCATTTAAACCCGCACTGCCAAAGCTAAACTTTTATTTAGAGGCCTCCTTTAACATGATGGATGGGATCTTGTAATCACTGTGCTGATAATGGAACTGATGCCCGAGTTTGTTTTGTGACGGAGAATTAAATGATGATGATACAGATGAGTGGACACCCACGTACATGTCTAATCCTCTCTGCCCTGTTCTTGGCCCTCCAGAGGAACTGGTTGGCCACTGTATGAGACAGGAGGCTGGACTAGATGGACCCTCCCTGGTCTGACCCAGCAGGGCTCTTCTGGTGTTCTTCTCAGGGGAAGGCCTCGGCCTCTCTGCCCTGTTGCTGGTCCTCCAGAGGGACTGGCTGGCCCCTGTGTGAGACGGGAGGCTGGACTGGATGGACCCTCCCTGGTCTGACCCAGCAGGGTTCTTCTGAGGGGAAGACCTCGGTCTCCGTGCCCTGTTGGTTGGTCCTCCAGAGGAACTGGCTAGCCCCTGTGTGAGAAAGGAGGCTGGACTGGATGGTGGGTAATGCGTGGACTCTAATCTGGTAGAGCTGGGTTTGATTCCCCCACTCCTCTGCTTGCAGCTGCTGGATGACCTTGGGCAAGCCATAGTTCTGATAAGAGCTGTTCTTGAAAAAGAGCAGTTTCTGTCAGAGTTCTCTCAGCCCCACCTACCTCCCAGGGTGTCTCTTGTGGGGAGGGGAAGCGAAAAGGAGATTGT